GGGGGGGGGGGGTGGGGGGAGAAGAGCGGACTGAGGATGTCAAGAGACACAGATATAACTAGGTGTACGGGGCGAACACTCGGGGGGGGGCGTACTGCCTTCGTCGAGATTGAACGGGCCTGCTGACGTCCTGCCACGGGCGGCACTACCACCGGTAACAGCCCTCCAGCAACCATCTATCTACCTACCCCTACCGGGGCAACCAGCAACAATGACAAAAGCGAGGGACAGACCAAAAGGACCACGACGAGAGCGGACTTCGCGAGAATCGTACTAGTAATCAATCTATAAAATAGGGAGGGGGGCTTCGTATCCCTATCCCTAACCCCCAACCCCACCCCGTACCCCCTACTAAAACCAAGATAAATATCATCCAGAAGGCTACTGACGATAACACCAAGGGCTGGGTCACTCACCACGTCAACCTTGACACCGTAGGGGAGGCCGACGATCACCTCGGGAGCTCGGTAGGACCTACGAACCAAGTGTGCGGGAAAACAGACACGCATGAGCTGGCGGCGGGGGGAGCGTGGAATCACGCCCAAGCGAGCAAGCACGCTACGGCATGTTCCAGCGACGAAGGTAGGCATGCTACTTATGAGCGCCGTATCACTCAGGAGCGATTGTCGAAACCGTCGTACAACCCTCGAGTGAATCTATAAAGACAAAAAGTAAATATAACGACGAATCGAGAGAGAGAGAGGGAGAGAGGGAGAAAGAGGGAGGGACAGAACAGACACAGGAGCGGCGACAGAATGATGATGCAACAGGCACGAGAACAACGCAAAGCAGGCAGCCAGGCCAGAGAGTAGCGGATCACACCAACGTGATGCACGCACCGACTTTGAGTGTAGGTCGTGAGTTGGTCGGTGACGAAGCAGGAAGACCCGAAGTCGATGAGCTTGACCTCCGCCCTCCCGTAGTGTGAGAGCAGGATGTTCTCCGGCTTCACGTCGCAGTGGACAAGCCCCAGCGAGTTGATATACGACAGCGCCTGCAAACGCCAACAGATGGTGAAAACCGAGGCAAAGAAAAAATCTTCAAATAATTTTTGAAGGCCACGAGGAAAGGGTGCGCAGCGATCGCGCACACCTCTAGCGAGGTTGGCTCCAAAGAAGTCAAGGGGGGAGGGGGGGAGGGGGGGGTGTACTCATAGCCGTGCATGTCGTAGTCGTTAGACCATTGACCTCGCATCCCTGCAAAGCCGGGACGGAGCACGCTGGGGGTCCCATGTGGGGGAGTCAAGTGTTTGCTGCAAAAGGGGGTATCAAAGGCCTCCTGTCCACTGCCTCTATCTGCATTACACAAACACACCTCTAGGCACTGCCTGGTGATCTTGCAGAGACGAGGGAGCGTGAAGTACTCCGGGTGTCCGGCCTCCTTCACCGCCTTGGAAAACTCGTATAGGTTGTCCCCCAGCAGCTCGGTGACGATCACAAGGTGCTCCTCATAGTAGAAGAAGTCGAGCATGTGAAGCACGTGGTGCTCATCCTGTACATGGGGTCGTTTTAGCACACAGAGGTAGTTAAGCATGCGCAGCACGTGGTGCTTTTTCTGCGCGGGGTTGCGTCAGAACACAGCGGTACGCTGTCGTTCTTCGGCTTGAGAAAATAGGAGGGAAAAGGAAAGAGAAGGCAACCAAAAATGCGCGCATCCCTACAACAAATACCACGAAGGGAGCCGTGGCGATTGGGATGCTACATAGATAGTTTACAGACTAGGGCAACTCCAGGCGTTCGATCAGCATGTGTAGAAACCATGTGCGTTTGGGGGCATTCATGAGGCTGCTCGTTGTGTTCCATCCCTCCTTCCTTTAAAGAAAAGAAGATTTGTGTGGAGTATGAGAGATATTACTCGATGCATGGGACACCCCGGCGAGGTAAAAACGAAAGCGCAACACGTGCAAGAAAATGTTTCGTACGAAATCATTTGTACTTCCATATGTTCCAGCCCGTGTTGCTGCTCACCGGATCACCTCCGGCCTTTATCCGTTGCAGGAGCTTGATCTCGTCGAGGCTCTGGTCGAAGAAGTCCTTGTTGTTCTTGATCACCTTCAGGCACACCGCGTCACGGCCCCGCTCTCGTCGCAAGTCGCGGCACTCCAGCGCCGTGCTGAAGGCCGCCTTCCCGATGTACCCGCACACCTGGCCATTCATGTTGCGCAGCCACCGCCGTCACAACAGAAGAAAAAAACACAAGCGATGAACTAACGACATGGTTAAAGCAAGGTAGCAACAAGAAGCGTTTGCCGCTGCGACGGGAAAACNGGGGGGGGGTTCGAAAGGTAATCGAACACGGATGGTTGGTTAGACCGACCAGGTTGTCATCACATGCGAACCGCACCAACATTAACCACAACGGGGGGGGGGGTTCGAGAAGTAATCGAACACGGATGGTTGGTTAGACCGACCAGGTTGTCATCACACCTCGTAGCGGCCGGCGACCACACACCCCTCCGGCCAGTCGAACGCCTTGCTCTCCTGAAACCCGGTCCTCCCCTTCGCGTACACGATCCTCAGGTCGAAGCTCTCCAGCTCCTCCTCCGTCTCCTCCTGAGCCTCCACTCCCTCGTCCCCGAACGTCCCGGCCGCCTGGCGGGCAGCTCCCCTGACCGCCGCCACTGCTTCCGCATCGAAACCCGCCCGGCCTGCCTCCATCTCTTCCACCGCCGCCGTTCGCGATGATCCCGACCGGCTTCTTCTCGAAACCCTGGCGTCTCGCTCCTCCGACGCCTCTTCGTCTCGCAGCCCTTCGGCGACAAGACTCCCCCCTCCCCACTCCACATCGGCCCCATTCCCCAACATCCCCATCAACCTCCCGCCTTCAGCGGCAGGGGTGGTGCCGCCTGCGGTCGCTGTGGCAATCGCGGAGGTGGTTGTAGGGTCTTCGCCATCGCCTCCTCGCTCCGGCGCCACTGGTCCGATTGTACCCCCGTCGGCCCGTAGATGGAGAATAACCTCGCGCTGCTGCTGCTGCTGCTGAGGGTCGAACGCCGACAAGGAGCCGTCACCCATGCCATCCTCACCGTCGTCGTCGTTATCGTCGTCGCCGCCGCTGTCGCCAGAGCCTGGCCCAGTCGCTCCCGCTGCCGCCGAACGGTCGTGTCTGTGTAGCTGCTGCTGCTGCTGCTGCTGCACATGGTGGTCAAGATCATGTCGAGCGCTGGGCGTATGGTCGGCCTCCTGGAACGCCTACAATGTAGGGGGGAGGGGGGGGGGCGATAGTTCTTGACAAAACTACAAAAACAACAACAAAACTACAAGAGAAGACCAACCGGATGAATGTAACACCCCATCGGTGGGCACGAAACCGAGGCAGAAAGCGAAAAAAAATACGGCATTGTCAGCCCTTCCACCCCCCCCCCCC